CCCCCCCCCGGGGGGTAACGCCAAAACATCACACCGAGCGAGTCTCTTTACATTGATTGCCTAGCTCTCTCAATGGGAAACGACTGAAATTTTAGGCTACTGACGCTTATACCTGCCAACTCTCACCCTTTAGGCGAGGGTTTTCAGACATACCGATCATTGTTAACAAATGACTCCTTAATTTTGGCGCTAAATTTCAGCGTTAATTTATAATTTCGGGCATGTTACAAAATTGCCATGGCAAAGATTGGCGCGAAATTTCTCGATACAATAAACAAATAAAAAAACCCAGGATTGTAAACGTAAATTGTCACTCATGATACTAGAGGTTATCACGTAGAAATGTTATACACGTGAAATTAAGAAATGGTTTCTCTTGCCTTAAGTCAAAATTCTAATAATTTCCCTCGCCCAAAGGTTATAAGAATTTGGTCTAATGGACTTAAAAGGCGCGTAAAATTATCTACTATTTTCCGGCTCGTCACCATTTGATTACCAATACCTACTTTATACACTGAATTTCAAGTTACGGCTCACACTCACGGACCGTGCAATGTCTCACGCTTGGCTGAAGTATTTTTTAGCTATCACGCGAGAGAAGAAAAGCCGTCCACGTAAATTACAGTACTTCCTCCGAATTATCTGATGTGAAAATCGTTCCGGCCAAGTGGCTGTACTGATCAGTTTCATCTTTTTTCTTTTTGAAACTTAAACAATATTGCCGAAACAACGGACTCCATTTACGACTGACTCAAATTTGATCATGGCAATGCCAAAACTTTAGAATTTCGTGTCAAAATTACAAGGGTCGTTAAGACGTGAACAAATTTTAAAGCGTTTTTGGGAATTAAGTTTCTAAAAAAAAACACCTCATATTTTGGGAAAAATTTGAACAACTGAGTATATATTGCCTGGGTCTTTGATCTCTTTGAACAAAGTTGAATGTGAACATAATAAAGTACACGTATGGAGAGAAGTGGAGTTATATTATGCGGCGCAGAACTGAATTTTACATTCTACAGCAATGGTTTTTGTTTGAATTTGGTGCCAAAGTTCAGGCCTTTGCAGACTTTGGCTAAGGTGAGAGGCTAAATTTGATTCGGCGTAAATATAATTTTTGTTTAATTTTGTGCCAAAGTTCAGGCGTTTGCCGACTTTGGCTAAAGTGAGAGGCTAAATTTAATTCGGCGTAAATACAACTTTTGTTTTGGACATAGCATGCTTTGTGAGGCCAAAACAATTTGATTACTTTTGTGTAAAGTTCCCAAGAGCTGATCGCGTCTCCTTAAACAAGAAAGGGAAGGCCTGGGGTCGAGAATGTAGTTTATGATGGCGAGTTTGCTTTGGGCAAAACATGTAGTGAAACTGGAACTGGGAAACGTCGGCAATCTTCGGAAAGCTAGTGATTAGAAATCATGGGCGGATCGTCTTTAAAAATGGCATTCCCAAGATCTTGGACCTCAGCTTTTACAGTCTCTCCTGTATTGTCGGTCACAGTACTCGCCTATCCGTCGAGTGGATGAATCGGGTGACCGCGTACTGAGAATGAGTCAGGTGACTAACCTTGGCCAATGGGGCAAAGAGAAATATACTCTCTGGTATTAGAGCTACGCATCAATGGTATCGATGGTCCTTCACAAGAAATCGGACGTTTAAATATATCACACCACTGTCGACCCCAGGGTTTTTCCGTTGTTTGTCGAGGTGGCGGTTTCAAACCGCCATTTGTCTTCACTGTAAAGTAACGCCGAGATCACCTTGGTAACGACAGTCCATTTTATATTGGCGGTACATCGATCACTAATATGCTCTTTTCATGTAGTTGAGTGTTCTACTCACGGGCTAAATTGAACTAATGACCTGCATGACAGTGCGATCCCATTTTCGGAGAGAGTCCTTTATACCAGCTCTTGAGCGTTTGTTTACCCCGAACAATCATTGCCGTTAGCCAGAAAGAATAAGATTTGTATACGTCAAGAGGAAAACTTTACCGAAAGCCAGATTAATGCCTGGATATGAAGGAAAGGTAAGTCGGAAAACAGTTAGACACTTATAGGGTCTGCTTTTAATATAAGCAGGTGATCCCCTAATGTTTTTAACAAGTTTTGCCGCTACTTTTGAATGAGAGGTAGGGCTATAAACGTACAGAACGAGAACTGAAAAACCTACTTTTTGTTCAATGAAAAAAAGTTTCGTTTAAAAGTTTATAAGGACATGGTTTTCGCTTTATCGCGCTGGTCGCTAAAGAACTTGAGGACAAAATACGAAAGCTGTTGCCGGGAAACTCAACACATGCCAATGTCAAAAAGTTTTCTATGTGAAGGTAGAGAGAGTATAGGAAATTGAGCATAACTTTCACCAGAAGGCATGGTACCAGAAGGCATGGTATGAACTTTGATTATGGTGGTTCAAGTTGAATTTGGCCCGAAAAAAATTTATTCGGTAACAGGTTTTCCCACGCTTTGACACGCTTTAATGACTTTCTTGTGATCTAATCATCTAGGCTAGCAACTTTGCAGCGAAGAGGCGCTATTTTTAGTTCTCCCGGCCACTGTTCCTACGCGCTTACGAGTAAACAATTTCAAAGTCGGTAGAGACGGTTGGAATTGCAAACAAACCTATTTTTTTTAGTATTAAAATATCATAAACCAAAACAAATAACTAAATTTGCTCGCGCTCTGTGTTTTTTTCGCATTATTGATGCATCTAAAAAGACTGATGGTAAATTCTTCAAAGTGATCATTTACATAACGGCACGCATAGCAACAGTAGCAACAAAATGTCGGTCACGCGACAACTGCACAGTTTCAGTGTTCTTTACTTTTAAAGGCATGAAAGATTTTTCCAAATCATTTCGATATACATTACATGTCTTGCAAAGCGATAACGACATTCTCCTCCTTCATCGAAAAAAAAAAAAAAAATCTCATAAAAATTCTGCAGGCACTGATTTTTTGTATGCGTGTAAACTCCTAACAAACAGGGCAGCTTCAAAAATTTCGCATGCAGTTCACGGCTTTGAATCAGTCACGTCAACGTGAAGAAACATGTAACACCAATATCCTAGCCTTCATCTCTCACAAAACATTACCAGCATTCAAAAAATTATGTGCATGGGGCAAGGATCACAAGTTGATAACGTGAAGTGTACCCTTCAGCTTTCCACTGCTTACCGAAGATGTGAGTGAATATTGACCAGATCGTGACTTATTTCACTGACATGCCACACACTTAGTAAAACCACCAGATGAATGCCTTACACTATATTAGCTTTTCTTTTCGGCAAGTTGATGGTCAATGGTCAATATATGCTTGAGTATCTTTGCGAAAGTAGTTTTGATGATGAAAGGAACTTCTGCGCGCGTGCTTAAAATCAGCGCAAAAAAACTTTTGTTCTAGTTTGCAAAACAGAGTTGTAATGATTCGAAAGAAAAAGGTAAGCTTCAAGGAGGACCTTGTGGAAAGAATTCCCAATTCATTTAGCCAAGCACTGGAGGCAAATGAAGAAGTATTCATCACCGAATTCACCCAGGTATTTAATTTACTAGAGTATTTCAACTTGTAGAGTACAGGTGGAATAGCTTCATACACATTGGAATTTGTTAATATTCGGTTTTGACATCCAAGAGAGGTATTTTTTTGAAGTTATTTCCTTTTGTTTGCCGAACGTTTTATTTACTTTTCAAACTTTTGTCGGCGCGTCTTGAATGAGTAATGATGCGACAAATTAACCAAATTGAAATTTTCCGTACTTAATTCTGTGGGTAAATTGCTCCTTTCGTCCGGAGACCACTGTACGCATACCATATGTAGTCGCCAAATTGTCGTGTTATTAATGCGGCAACTAAACAGAAAGAAAACTTAAACAAACTTTCCTATCACCAGAAAATGGTTGACTAATTCTGAAAACTGACCGGCTAGGCATTGCGGAACTTTGGCCTACTCTGAGAGATTTAAATTTTTGATTTTCGTCGGATTTTCCGCTTTATAATTAACTCAGGACTTTATCAGTAGATATCTTGAATGGTATCCTTGCACAATTCTATGCTGGTGTTCACGTTTCTCTGAACAAATTTGTTCATGTCATCTTCTATTTCGTGTTGCCTTTTTTCCGGTGCCGTGCATGCGAGTATTCATCAGTGGAACAAGCGAAGTCAAACTACTCAAAGGCAATATATTGTCGGACTATAAAATTGTGGTCAATCGAAAATAGTACTCCAGTCAAGTGTGCTTCAAAGTTTTGATAGGTGAAACGTTTTGAGAATAGGTAAACTTTATTTGTTAAAGCTTATGTGCTTTTAAATCTAAGTTATTACAAAATATGAGTAACTTTATGGTAATTATAGTGTGCTAAAAAGTTATTTAATACGGTCCAGACATGAATTCATCATTGACTCGGTCAGGCATAGATAATATACTTGAAAATGTGGTTTTAAGAATGAAGCAAATAATTTTCCGCTTCTGTCTTTAGCAGCGGAAGTTTCTAGTACAATAAAAATTTACGGAAGAAGCTGGAAAGATTAAAACTGTTCGGAAATACAGTAAACCATGTACTATTTGAACAAGTCTATGACACATGCGAAAAAAATGTAGCCATGTGGGCGGGAATTTTGACGTGTCCCTCAAAAGGGACTTAGGATCGAAACTAAAAGTTTTGACAAGAAAAATTTATTTTGATTTTAGCCTCTTGAAGCCTTCAATGCACTTTTATTATAGAAGTAGAGCGTAATTTATTTTATTGCGGTTTCGTGAACTTCAGATCATTGCGCCATTTCTGAACTTGTCGCTAACTTGTTGTGGAAGGTTGTTGGCGCGGTTACTAAGTAAAGGTTGCTGCAAATGCAGAACACATTTTGAATTCATTCCGCGACAATTTCAAGTCAAAATGACTCCTTTGCAAGTAGTGACATGTCGCAAACGTAGGACGCCACATTGTCCGTCGTTCCAGCTTTAAATCTAGGATACTAACATACTGGTGGAAAGCTTGAATATTTTATTGATGTCGAACGCGCTTGTTCTGGTAAGAAGTTACACACTTGACTGGTTTTGTTTTCGTCTGGGCTTGTACCTACCTTTCGCTACCAGGATGTGTTCAGCCTTTTGAAGTATATTTGTGTTTGCTTCGGCTCTAGTTTGTTTTAACTATAAATCCTTGTATAGATTTCGCTTTGAAGGTGCAATATTGTCCTTTGCGCATTTCCTTTTGGAGAATATTTGCTTGACATATACACGGATCATGTTTTGTGTACATTTCTTTGTGGGAAGAGCTTTTCGAATCTTTGGGATGTTTGAAAGAAGTAAACCGATCGAGCCATTGATAAGGTCGAGTTTTTAGATGTATGGTTTCACTGCCCAGAGCACAAGACACGATGTTTGACTCAATCACTATTGGCTATTCGTTCCGATGAAACTTTGACACCGCCGACACCGGAGCTGAGTGCTTAGATCGATCGCAATTTATTTCTTCGGTTCTCTCCTGCGTAGGAAAGTGTCTTCGAACAGAACTGCTTCTCTAATATACTTGAGAATTAGAATTCGAGTATTCTATCTATTTAACATATTTAACCTTGCTATCTTCTAGAACAATCACCGAAGCTATTAATACTGCGCCTCGTCTTGCCGAAGGCAATGCTGGCGGACGAAGTAACATTTTACTTTGCGAACGATGACTTGATAGTCCGAACGCCCCTGTAATCCAATTCTGAACTTAAAACGGCAAAGCCTGGAAGTATTTTTGTTCCAGTTTGCGGTGTTTTGGGATCTAATTTCACTTTTACTTGAATTTTAATTGTTTTCTATTTTTGTATAAATAATTAGCATGTAATATTTGTTGTTAAAAGTTTGAATTGAAGAAAATAGCATTGATTAAGCTTATATAGTGTTCATGTCTCAACAGGTAACCTTTACAGATTTTGCATGGTTGTATAACATTTGGATTGATGATATCTCAGGTTTATTTAACAACTCATTGATTTTTTAAACTCCGCCTGCTAGGCTCTGATGAATTGGTGCACTAAATCAATTTAATTTTTTTAGACTTATCTATTGTTTGTCATTCTTATTTGTTCTGAGATGACACTACCCTCATTAAGTGATAAATATCTTCATCAAAGGCCTTGAATATATCTTAATATTTTTAGGAAAGCGTGAATTCAATTTTTCATTCAATTCACATCATATTCATTAGCCTAATTTGGAGACAATTTTATTCCCGTAGCCTTTTGGTATAGCCTGCATAAAATTGCAGATTATGAATGTTTTGCACTTGTCTTTCTGAATGACCCTTAATGTGGAGGCCTTGATAGGGTGAAATTCTGACATGCGACACTATGAAACTGAGACATGGAGGCTGATAAAATGGCGACAAAATAATTAGCTTTTGTTGTAATTCCGACAGAGATGTAAGGACCCCAGAAATTGTGATATGAAAAGATTGCACATGTGTTAACTCTCTAACAGGGCTTCTTTGTACTATTTTACTGCTTTATGCTTTACTTGCTTTATGCTTTTTAGGAACATCATGTTACTACAGCCATGAGTCAATAGACCCCACGCTGTCTAAAATCAAAGTGGCTCTGAGCCACTGAACTCACAAAATGAATTATAAAAAGTCAAGTTTAAAAAAAAAACCACAAACACAAAACATATTTTCTATACTGTCTTAACAATTTACGAATCAAAGTGGCTGTGAGCCACTGAACTCGGATAACGATTTATGAAAGGCTAAGAATGGAGTTTTGTTATTAATTAAATAACGCAGGTCCATTCATAGCTTATGTCTGAACCTAGTCGTTCCAAATTAAGCCTACATTGAGTTGTACAGTCTCCCACTACTCCAGCTCCATTGAGTGACAAATGATGCCATAGTCAAACATCCAAACAGATCCACGCAGCAGCATGAATGAGAAACATTACCAGAAAGACAGTAATTTACCTCCGCTTGAACAAGCGCAGCAAGGACTTATTTGAACAATAAGCCATTGACTCGTACGACTTTTGTGTGACTCTTGCACCTGCTGTTCTAACAACCCAGCGTTTTTGTAGAAAGCAATATAATGACTATGTGTCACCAAATTTCTTTAGATATCGATGTGGTGTTGTGGAGTAGGTGATCGTTCTACAAGTGAGAGGTTGTGAGTTTAATTCCTACCGTGCTCAACAATTTTTTTATTTTTTTATTTTTTACTTTTTTTCTTCTTATTAACAGATATAAAAAAAAAGTTTACCGAAACACAGCCTTTGCCTTTCCAATGCTTAAAAAACAACATTTATCAAAACACAGTGTTAGCTTTCCAATGAAAAATCATCAGAAGCTTTTGATCATTCGAGAATCAGCACATTGATTGATCTCAAACTCAAAGTATGTTAGCCTTGTTCGAGCCCTAAGTTATCACTAGTATCAGATAGGATTGTGTGCGAAGAAAAAATGATGAAGACGTGTCCTTAAAATCGAATCGAGGAGGATGAACCTTGAAGTCTTTCCCTTATATTAAATTGTATAATATAAGTTTAAGTGCAACTTGTATTTAGGTCAATCATACAGGGCGCTACCTCCATTGAACAGCATTGAACTGGTTTAACACTGAGAACTTCAAGCTGCAAAACATATGCTGTTGACCTTGCAGAAATTTTTCACGAATAAGAAACATTGCCACAGAAACAAATCACTTGATGAATAAATCTTTTCCAATTTGGAGTCAACCGATGGCCACCGCTTTATGTACTGGTCAGTGGAGTTACTAAAAAGTTAACAGGAATTGAACAATGGAAGGAAGGGGTGAATGAAGGAGTGAAAGTTGACGTCCTACTTATACTCAGACAAGAAGATCTGTTAGATCTTATAACCGTGCTTTTGAAATTTAACTGTTTGCTTAGCACTACCGTCAGAACGCAGTGCACATTCCAAAGNGAAATTTTAACACGATAAAGCTGGATTGTTAAGGAATAGATTTACCGTCTGCCGATGTGTGGTAGCTATTAACGCTAAAGTGATATATTGCTTTGAAGTCAGGGTTTTGAAGAGATTTTTTTGCAACATGTGGGTTCAGCGTGATTTTGTAATCAGAGGTTTTTGTTGACCCCGAAGGAAAAAATATCCGGAAAAGCTCATTTCATCGACGATTCAAACAAATATAAATATGTATATGTAACGAGCTAAATTTCTGGTGAAAAAATATAATTTTTGACGAGCGCTGGGTTTTTAATTTTTTCCCTTGAAAGTCAGTATTGGAGATGAGATTTATTAATGTTTCAACAGCTTTTGGCTAGTAAACGTCACAGGTTGCGTGACTCAAAATTTGGCCGAATGGAAGCTTGGGTCTGGTTGCCAACAAATCTGAAAAAAAAAAAAAAAACATGGGTAAACCATGAACCGCGCTCGGCCCATGGCCGCGCGGTTAAAAATGACATTTTCTGAGTAAAAATGGGGTTCAAGTATGGACCAAAGTAAAAATAGTCTAGTGTAAGGTTTGGTTACATGCTTGTTTTGTTGATAGGGATCTCTGGTTTGGTTTGATGGCAATGCTGGTTATTTACTGCCAGGGAAGTTGTCGGCCTTTGTGGGACAGGATGTCAAAGTACAGCATGAGGAGGATGGGCAGGTAATAAGTCCCTGTTAATAAAATATTTTAAGTGTTTATTTTTCTGAAAACACTTTTCTGTAAAGTGTACATTGTTGCTCTGACTGGAACCTTTCACGGTTATCCATGTTTTTGTTAAATTTTTTAGCGGCAGAATTAAGGTGCAGTAGTGCATTCTATGGTCTTCTCTCTTAGAGGAACTGATATATTTTCAATGTGTAACTTATGGTCCTCACTCTTTTACGTACTTTGCTTGCAAAACTTGCGACTCTCTACCTGAGAACAATAGAACAGAACCTACTACGGAACGCCAAGTAAAAACAGTCTCCTTTCACTACAGGCATTATTGCTGATTACTACACTAGTTATTTATTTTAATCAGTTTATTTATATATATTTTACATATAAATTAATATACATACATAGATAATGTAGTCAAACATAATTGTTTATATTCCTCGGGGATATAAGGTTTTTAGCTTCTCTATAATTTCAAATCAAAATAAAGTTATGTATGTAAGTATGTACATGTAATTACAGTATTGAAATATGTAAATGCATGTAACTGAAAGATGTTTTTTAATACAAACAAATACTGCAGCAACTGACATTATAATGTTCACTAAAATAATTAAAATTAATGACCAAACTGTACTCTCACCCTGCAAATAAAAATTGCTGTTATTTGTGTGCACGGGGCAATATTGCACACTTGGTTCCCTGCTCCTCTCAGACTGCAGGTTAATGGATGGTCTTATCACCCTTTCCTGTAAAAAGTAATTGTTTACTGAACCTTTGCTCTTGCATGGCTGAATTTTGGCTCCTTGATGTAGAAGACACAGTACACATCACAAGAGAACACTGCCCCACAAACCTGTTGCCTTCATCGTTTTCCTTGTGTTTTTCCTTTTGTTCTCTATTGTTTTATGTCAGCTGTGTCTTTTACACCAAGTAAGAGCCTGAATGTGTTTAAAAAGTGGAATTTACCGCCAACTAATCAATCATTAACATTTATGTCAATTTTCAACCATTGTTTGTTGAGGAAAACCTCTTTTAAGTCTACTTGCAATTTATGACTCATCTGAGCTTACTAAACATTTTTAAGAGAGTTAAATGGGTTGTCATGGATACCCTACACAGTTTGGCTAAGATTGCTTGTGGCTCAACCATCCTTTTAAGCACATCCCCCAAGCTCATCTCTTGTTGGTGAGTTCATTGGTATATAAAACCAGGTCCATGTACCCGTTTGTACCTAGGGGTTCCTAATGAAGTAATGATAATGATAATAGTTTTTTACTTCTTATATAGTACTATTTACAATAAGATGACAGAGTTCCCACTAGTTTTGATAGTTAAGGGTCCTTGGGACCCCTACATGCAGTTCCAAAGAGTTGGGGGTTCTTTTTGCTCTTCATGGGTCCTCTGCCTATTTACTAAAAATTTCGGAAATTTTTTCCTGCATCCCACTTCACCAAAAAAACTGTGCATCCTTTTCATTTTTTTTATGTATGTATAAGAAACACAACTGTGCATTGATGGAAACTCTGGATGATCTATAGTGCTTTACAACAGGTATTAATAATAAATTAGATGATATATGTAGTGGTTTGTTTATTAGGAAAAGACTTCTTAAATGTGTTGACATTTTGTTATTAATATTTCCCAGCTGCACACTGTTCGTGCTAATGCTGTCCTTCCCAGACAAGAGCTTGGTACACATGGAGTGGATGACATGATAAAGATGGAGTAAGTTAATTTGCATTAGACTCAGTTTTATGATATTTGCAGAATTTATAAAATGCTCCCTCATCATAGGCCTGCAATGCATGCAGAGAGCTTTATTATCTAGCTCTTTGCACGCACTCCAGGCCCATGATGAGGGCGCATAATGATCTCTGTCAAATCATATTTATCTATTTTATCATTAATGAGGCATACAATGACCAGTGCTGAGCTAGTAATCTTTATTAAAAGGAATACTTTATTATTAATAAATTATTGTATAAGTTAGACTTTTATAAATTTAATGATAAAAACAAAATGCACAACATTTGTTGCATGGGATGTTTTTAAGGGCAAGGGTGAAGATAAGCAAGTTTATGACAGTATGTATAGCGAAATTTAGTTAATTTTGATTTATTTGTTAAATCTCCAGTGACTTGCATGTTGGATCGATCTTGTACAACATTCGTAAAAGATACAGACAAGACCAGATTTATGTAAGCTTTGTTATGCTGTGATTATTACTTGATCTGGTATTTTAAGTTTTTGTTTATTCCTCTGATACTCTGTTTTAATGTAGTTACAGTTACCATTAACAACGAAGAGTATCAGCCTTCCTATTACAGTCAGACTGTGTGCATTCAAAATATGTACTGTTATATTTTCATAATTTTTTTTATTAAATTAATGAATGATTTAATATACTTTTTTGTTATTCTAGACCTATATTGGTAGTATTTTAGTGGCAGTAAATCCTTACATGCAATATGACATCTATGGCCCTGATGCAGTTCACAAATATTGCGCGACATCAACAAGAAGTCATCCACCGTAAGTAAATTCCATCTTAGCACAAATTCCTTAGACTATGAATGAATTTTTGAATTAATACAAATGATAATTTGATACAGTATCATTCAATTTGGGAAGTAATCGTACTCATAATTGAAATTGTTGCTAATTTTGGCTTATTTTGAAATTTGAAACTCCTCCTGAACTTTATTTATTATTGAATTTGCTCTTAGTTTGATTACTTTACTTATTGCACAGTTTTGAAGTTAATAAATTTTATGATGTAATCATGTTCTAGGCATATTTTTGCTCTTGGGAATGCCGCTTACCAGACTATGCTGAGAACAGAACACAAACAAGCTATTATTATCAGTGGAGAGAGTGGTGCCGGCAAGACAGAATCTAACAGGTTACTTGTTGAATTTTTGGCAGCTGTCAGTCAAACACATGGAAGCCTAGTAACTAAGCAGGTAACATGCTTCAAATTTGTATCTTTAAGATAATGTTAAATGTGCAAAGCAGTATGAGACTAATAAGGTTAATAATGTCCTTACTGTGACAAAATTCCAATATTTATGGGTTCATGGTAAGAGTACATGAATTTTGTGACAAAAAGGAAAAAAAAAAGAGGAAAAGTGAAAAATGAGACAAGGAAGTCAACCAAAACAAAATGATATTAAAAGGAAAAGTGATTAAAAAAAATTAATGAAAGAAAAGTGATCCTACGAGAAAAAGGAAAAAATATTGATACCAAATTGAAAGTGAAAGAGTAGAAATGAAAACAATTAAGAAAGAGAAAGTGAAAACGGGAAGCACAAAGAGAACTGCCATTGGTAATTTAAACTTGAAGAATTATTGGTCTAAAAAGGTTAAGCCAAGTAATATGAGTATGGAAATTACTGTGAAATTCAGTTTTAAAGAGACTGAATTTTTTAAGAAGTCAAGAAAATTGATTGGCAGACTGCTTCCCAGATTCACTGCACCAACAGATGAAATTAAATCCCTCATTTATAGCAGTAGTAGAATTTAGAACCTGAAATGTCAAAATTATATTCTCCTAGCTACAGCTGTGTTAAAGAGTGGTTTTTACTGGAGTGTCAGGCTAAGCCAGTAGTACATGTGAGATCTTTCAAAAGTAGGTGTCCTGTGGATTTGCAATGCAATTGGCTTAAACATGCACATCAATTTGTCATCCAATCTGGGGTAAAATCAATTGAAAACCAATCATGACTCACCTTCTCACGGTTTCCTATGCTTCACCTCAGCTACATGTATTGAAAATAGAGTTTTGATTGGTTCATTGGCTTGTCTGCATCGTGTGTGATTGACTAGTTAAAAGTAATTGTAAACAAGTTTGATTTGGGTAAACTATGATACTCAATTAAAAGCCGCTCTTTGACTAACAATAAGTTATTTACAGTCATGTGAATGCCACATGTAACTTTAGATGGTATATGGTACTAGTTTAAAATTGCCTTGTACACATTCTACCTTTAGATTGTAGAAGCAACACCTTTGCTGGAATCATTTGGAAATGCTAAGACCATGAAGAATGACAACTCAAGTAGATTTGGAAAATATTTGGAGATTTTCTATGATGGGTAGGATATGTTTCTTACAGATAAACGTATAGGAAATTTTTGAAAAACCTTGGGATCTTTCTCTGTAAATAGACCTTCTACCTTCAAGGTACAAAAGTATTCTAGTAAGCTATACATTGACACAAAACAACTTGCACTTGCAAACTTATTGAAGGGATCATTTGCATACATAGTCTGTTGTAGTCGCTGTTGCACTACAGGAAAGGGTTACTTCTGATCATCATCATTGTCTTTTTATTTGTCACACCCAGAATAATAATTAAGAATAATAAGTAAACTTACATTATCATACGGTGGTGGGGACCAGTGAGGATTAAATAGCAGAGGCCACGTCAGTTGTTAAATAAGTATATTATTGACATGTAAATTTGAAGTTCTGCGAGCATGCCATGACCAATTCACCATTTTTTCATTTACTTCTAATCAACTGATTCAATTTGTTTTTCACCTGGTTATATTATGTATTAGTTTGTGGCAGTTCAGCACAGATTGATATCTTGCTTTTGTTATATTTATATACTTACACGTAAGTATAATGCTTTTTTTCAGTGATGGTAAAATTTCAGGTGGAAGAGTGTCTGAATATCTTCTGGAAAGATCAAGGATCGTAGGACAGGTATTTCACCAGATGGATTGCACAGAGAGTTGATAAGTTTGATATCAAACATGTCTAGAATACTTCCAGAGATGAGAAAGATTTCACAATGACACTGTGTTGCTTTTATCGTGACAGGCAAATGGCGAAAGAAACTATCACATCTTCTATGAGATGCTGTGTGGATTACCTGAGGAGCAAAAACAGAAATTCAGTCTTACAACTGCTGCAGATTTTATGTACCTTAACCAGGTAATATTAAATTACTATGTCCATGTATGTGTGCTTGTGAGATGGCAAAACTTGTAAACTATTGAAATTACAGGCTAAACACATGTGAACCTTAAGCTTTTGCATTGTTAAAATAAATGAGCTTGAGATTTCTATGAGGGCTAGTTAAGAAAGCAGATGTAGAATGCAAGTTAAGAATGTAGAATGTAGATGTAAGTACAGTAAGGTACAGCCCAAGTCAACTATCACACATAAAAATCAAGAGGGTCAATAATCTATAGTTAATCATATTTAGTATAAATCTCCCATCCGTGCAAACGTTAATTTTTTATCTAAATCAGGGCTTGAAATTGCGACTCACTGGTCGCCAATGCAACCAAAAATTGAGCACTGCTGACTAAATTTTCAGAACTGGTCGCCAGCTGGCGACTTGTGTTTTGTCCAATAACTAAAAGAAAACCATGACACAGCTTTTGTTTTTAATTCTTTATATTAGGAAATCAGTCGGATATGGTAGCTAGTATACAACTCACCTTTCCGTCCGCACTAAAATGTCTGAATATTACAAGATAATCAAGAAATTTGAATCTATTTCGACACGTTGATACTGCATTCACAGTGCGCCGTATTGTTTTAGTGGCTTCTTCCAAAACTGGGATCGCAGGCGCACTTCAACACCGTGTGCTTTTCATTTGCCATGAAAATGGCGGCAGATACCAATCATTTGAAGGAATTACACAAGTTTTTACGTGCAGGGAATGAAGATTCAGCCAAAAGGTTAATCCAAACTTTGAATCCTTCATCAGTTGTTGATGTAGGGAAAGTGGATTTCACCAAACTGCCAAAAGGATATCCTAGGAACTAGCTTAATTCCAGACATTGATGATGCATTTTGAAGAAGTAGCAAAGGGAAACTACGCAAGGACTCGTGTTTGTTTCACAATGAAAACCGCGGACTTAAAACGATTTATGCTTCGCTTTATTTAAAATGACTATGGAGACAACCATCACCTTCGAACAGAGACATATCACCTGAGAACAACGGTAGCTTTATAACTAAGTGTTACTCGTGTTGTTTCTAATTATTTTCGCTCTTCAATTGTGACTCTCCTTGCATGCACAGTAACATATAAAATCATGTTCTTGTGTAAGTTATATATAAAATAAGTTGGCAACCAAAATTTATGATCTGGTGACCAAAATTTTTCCGTTAGTCACCAGCTGGCTCCTAAATGAAAAAGTTATTTTCAAGCCCTGTAAATCCTCTTCACTGACATTCACAAAGGAAGTGTTTGCCATTTCGTTAACAACCTCACACAGCTAGGCTACTCACTATCTGTAACGAAATAGACAGTTATTAGCATTGCCGATAAGTGAGCATTTGTGATAGAACACTTGAGGATGTACTAAGATTGTGCAGTTGCAGAAAGTGTCCATACTCCCCCACAAAAGGGATTGGAATGTCTTGGGGGCTTGTGGGGAGGGGGGTGGGGGCGGTCAGTAAGACCAGAAAATTTAAAGAAATGTTTGAAGCTTACTTTGAGTTTCCAGAGGGGTGGGGGGTCTAATTAAAAATCCCTTCATTCGAGGAGGTATGAATATTTTCCGGAATGACACATTTATATTAATTATCATTAGGTGCATGGCCACTCAATAGCCAGTCAAATGGTGCATTTACTTAATAATCTGCCAGTGGGTTTGTCAAAGATACTTAATACTTGCATGTGATTGTTGTACAAGTCATAAATGTTTTATTCTTGTAACCTATGGGTGATATATTTTAGTATTCCACAGTCTTGATTGTAACACAAAACAAACAAGTTCATGTACATGTTTGAAATATTTCAATCTCAATTTATTGTCTTTACATAGGGTAAAGCAAGTGTCATCCCAAACAGAAAGGAAGAGTTTCACTTTCAGCAAGTTATCAAGGCCATGCATATTCTTGGAATATCTGTAAGTTCTTCACACTCAAGAAGAGGCAATCTGTTCAATGAAAAAGCCATTTATGTTACAATTTTTCCACCAGCAGTGAAACTAAATCACCAGCAAGTAAGTTTTTTTTTTTCCACAGGAAAATGAAAAAGATGCCATATTCAAGATCCTGGCAATCATTTTACACTTGGGAAATGTGGACTTTGGAAAAACAGAGGTGCATGTAGTATTTAAAACTCAATGACTGGTCCCGAGGGGAACAGTGAATTTTGTTTTTGGAGAATCTCAATGTTTCCCACAACAAAGTCGAGGGAAACATTGAGATTTGAGGGAAACAAAATTCACTGTTGCCAAGCGACCAGTCATTAAGTGATTTCTTATCAAGCAAAACAAAACAAAGGCAAATTTTGAAAAATGTGCTGAGACTCCAGTGACAACATCAGGCCACCTTCAACTGCATGCTCTGATCATGTGCAACAGCGGTCAACATTTTGCAGGCAACAGTGAACGTCATAGTTTTTGCAATGTTGCCCGCTCATGGCATTTGGCGGTAAACAGCTTTATTGTTAGATGTCATGTGACCATGAACTAGCCAATGAATGGGTGTGCTGTAGTGGGAAAAATGCCAGCTATACAGCAATAAAGATTGAAGTTAAATTTATACCTCTTTGTTTTCTCTCTTCTACTTGCCATTATCTTTCCTGTATACTGTATGTCAGTAAGAATTTCTAGCAATCATGATGTGCACAGTTCTATATGCACAGGGCGGTCAATAGGGGCTGTAACCTGTAGCACCTGACCTACGGCTGAGTAAGCTGTATGGGCCTTTAATGTTATGGGTGAACTTGCCTGTAGTTGATACAATTAACCCATAAAGTTACAAGTTTGTTTTAGGTGTCAGAAGATCAAGGCTACAGGTCAATCAAAACTTAATGTCAACCCTGATGCATTTAAGAGTCCATTCAATTTTAAATTATTCGTATTTTAAAAGTAGTAAACATAAGATTGCTTCAGGAAGGTTCTATGGATCAGAATTGTTGTTAGCTGACGTGTATTTTGTAATGTTGCATATGTCTCACTAGGCCAGTGGACAAGAAGCTGCTGTCATCATGGGACAAACAGAAGTCTCACTTGTGTCTCACTTGTTGGGCCTTAAAGTTCAAGATCTGGTTGTATGTTTGACCCACAAGGAAACAGTAAGTTCTAATTAGTTTGAGTAATGTTTTTTTTGCTGGCTGAGCTTGCGAAAGAGGCAGGAAACAAGGTTCTCTCACACTGAATGGGGGACCTAGGTATGAGTCAGGATGTCGGTTTCACGCTCGGTCACGTGACTCAGTTTTTCCTTCCTTGCCAGACAGTGCAACAGTTTTCCCACCCTCCCACCCCTTAGTGAATTCTTGCCTAAAGTTTATAGAAGTGTATCAACGTTTGGGTAGTTTTTTTTCCAGTTGTTGACTCCGATTCTGTTATTGTTTCGATGTTGATAGAAATGTCAATAAAGTGCATTGTCGTGTGGCAGACAAGTGGCATTCAGTGTATGAGAATGTGCTACTTAATGCCAAATTTTAACGACCATGCATGAGTCTGGGATCTGAAAATGAATTATGTGGAGGCAAAATACATTTCATGTGTTGAATGCTCTTGCCCAAAACACTTGAATGTGTTGACACAAAGGTAAAGGGCAATTTGAAAATGACCTACTGGAGGTATTTGTTTTGACTTTTTCTTCTTTTCAGGTGCAAGGAATCAATTATAATTATATTAAAATTAATTATTTATTACAATTATTAATAATAAAGAATTTTTATTAGTTTACAGTTTGAAGTATTGAAATTAGGTCTAGGGCTATGCTGTTTGTTTGACTTGCCAGCCATTTTAAAATAATAATTATTATAATGTTGCAGCACTTTTCATTGATAAAACTGACTTATGATTGTGTCTTTTCATTCCAGGAAGTGGGAGGCTCCAAAGTGCGAAGTCCGAGATCAATAAACCAAGCTATAGATGCCAGGTAATGATCAAGGCCATAACCCATAACCCAGTTATGGCTGATCTGAGCATGACTGATGGGTCCTCGATATATTACGAGGGAACTTGCCCGTAATGTGATGTACATGTAATTCACCCAAAAGGCAACGAGTTTGTTGTGGGTGTCAAGGTCAAAGCAACCAGCTGAGTCCAAAATTAGAAACTGGACTGAAGATCATTAAATATCAAATACAAATTATGTATGTAAAGGTGTTGAGAGATTTGAATACAATTGCATATTTCACAATTTTGTGAGGTACTGACATGGGTACCTGTACTGATTATCTCACATACAGACTGACTTCTGTCCATTCCAACAAGCAATTGCTTTGTGCACTTTGCCTCAGGAAAACAGAAAATTAATATACGAGATGGCTTTCAATGAAAGTACAAATTCTGTTTGTTAATTGAAAACTCTCAAAAACAAATATTAACAATCATAATGCAATAAGATATAGTAACAGTAATAGTTTTAATAAAGATAGGCAAGCGTTTATCGCTAGAAGAAAAAAAAAACTCTGAAATCTAGAGCAAGGTGAATCCTTGGATTTTGGACAAATAATATTAAAACCATATTGTGCCATATAACTGGACTTTTCTTTTGCAGTTGGAAAATAATGCAGTAAATAAAATGTGGTCAAAAATAAAAATTATTAAATCTTTGTGTGGAATTTTTTTTGCATGTTTTGAGTTATTGTATATCAATGTGCTGACTTTGAAGGCAATAAATTGTAAACTGTAATTTCCTTTTTTACAGGGATGCTCTGGCTAAAGAAATCTACTCTCACCTGTTTGGGTGGCTTATAAGCAGGGTTAATGATATTGTGTACAGTGGCAAAAAGCAAACTTCCATTGCTGTACTTGATATTTTTGGCTTTGAGGTGAGGTCCAAACCCATTATGCTAATGGCTTCATGCTGACATTTTGATTTCAATGTGTTTAGGTATATTAGGACAGACACTTGGTCTCATATTTTAATGTTTTCTATGTGTAACTTATAAATTATCTAAAACAAATAGAGGGGTAATAATTGAAGGATTTTGTGCAAAAAGGGCGTACATCGCCCCAAAAGTGATATACACGTACGCCCTTTTTGCACAAAATCCTCCAATTTATTATTAATCTTAAGTTAGATATTAACTTAATAAGTTTATCAAATTAATCCATGATGTAACACTTGTAACAGGTGGCTCTAGTAATTTTTACTAACTGTTTTTTATACTGTAAGTGCTGTAGCACAGCGCAAAAAAATCTCTTGTGGCCATTTGCTGACTTGTGAGCCACTTCCTGTACCTGTATACAGAGATGCTAACCTAAAAAAAATCAAAATCTGGGAGATAACCAATTTTTCCTTTTCTGACCCTATAAAAAGTTGTTAGAGTAGAGTTCTGCTAATTAAACTGCCAAAAATGCTTCAAATATTCAAATCCCCCCCCCCCCTGCAAAAGGCAAAATATCAGCCAAAATATGTCTGAAAAATGTCAGTATCTTATGCTCTGTCACTTAGAGCTAATTTCCCTGAGACTAAGATTACAAGATACAACTTAAGGAATAAGTCTTCCGCAATGCCCGCCGTTCACTCGGACTGTTTCAAGAATACATTCTTTAATAGGATAGTTTTTAAGTACAATGTAACTTTGTAAATAGTGTACTTTTTGTATTCGATTTTTGTATTTGTTTCCATGTAAATATCTATCTTATTTAGAGACATATTGTAGCCCATTAACATTATTATTTTTAAATGTAACATAAGATATGTAATTTTATCTTTTGAACAATAAAGACACTTTATTTATTTATTTATTTATTGACTGGGAGATTTGGTGACCTGTATGGGTGACCAGAAGACCAGGAGACTCCCAGAGAATCTGGGAGAGTTGGGATAGATTTGTACATGTACATGTATATGAAAACTGTATACTGAAAGGCAATGGGTGATGGAAATTACAGTGGAGCTCCGGCAGCTCGAAGGGCCGCCAAGTGGAGCCTCATACTCGTATAGGAAAGAAAAGGAAACCCATGAATGGATTTTCTTATGGTTATCATGACTAGCGGTATTGCTCATGGGCGCGTATGCACGATGGCGATGGCAATGGCGACGGTGACAGAGTCACACAAGATGGTGGCCATTCTCCAGCAAAGTTAAAAGGTTGACAGAAATATACAGCCTTGATTTATAGCCTCCTTCTTTGATATTGGATATCCATGTTATGGTCAATTGACACCTGTCAAATCAAGGTATCTGCTGACCAGTATCACATGACCATATTGCAGGCTCAGGTTTATAGTTCATCGAGGTCACATGGTTTTTTTTTTAAAGTTGACCGCTGACCAAGTGCTGGTTTTCTACTGGATCGCAGGCTCATGTCAAATTAACTTGTTGTAAACGGGGCCGGGTTGTTTGGAAGCCAGTCAACGCTGACCCAGGATTTAAGTTAACAGAAGTATAAATAGTTCTTGTATACAAATGTTTTTCACTGCGTTTGTTTTGTGTATTTTGAGATTATTCAAACTCAAAACAGAAGGCCAAACAATATACAGAAAACCTCACTGCAGAGTTACAAAATTCAAATCAAAATTCTCACTTAACTTGGGTTATCTTAATTGGGCTTTGAACAACCTGGCCCAGGAGCTCCACATTTAGGCTTGGCTAAATCTATATATTATGGTGAACCCCTGAATTTAATATGCTCATTCACTTTTTTATTGCTGCAGGATTTTGAGACAAACAGCTTTGAGCAGATGTGTATCAACTTTGCCAATGAAACTTTGCAGTTCTTTTTTAATCAGTTTGTCTTCAGAATGGAACAAGTGAGTAACAATATTACACAAGTCACAAACAATTTCTCTTTGTAGTTTGTCATGCAAGATAGTCCTTTAATAGCCATTGTTTTTCAGATAGTTGACCACCGGGTAATGTTGTGCACACACAATACAAAAAATAATGTCCTGTTGTTGATAGATGGAAAGAATTACATTACGTGAAGAAATTTGTACTGTACATGTAGTGAGACAGCCTGAGTGCCGTTGGACTGATTGTTGTAAACATGTGTTTGTCAGAACACTTGGCTAGAATAATGAGAAAGAGGTGGCAGTAAGTTTTGAAAAGTCCTCTTAGTATACCGTATTTACCCGTGTATAATGCGCACCCGTATATAATGCGCACCCTGATTTTCCGGACAATTTTTGAAAAAACAAAAAAATCGTTGTTCAACAAAAGACAAACATTACAATGAGTATATTCCATTGCAACAGTTTAATAACATGAACTTTTAAGCTTACAATACTCAGGTAATTTGTGTTGACCTGCCGGTAAACTTTCCTGAATCACAAAGCAGTTTTTTACAACAGTTTCGAAGTNTAAACAGCTGTTATTGGTTAGTTATGTTTTTATTATAACAAAAGTCTTAATCACAGCCTATTAAAACCAAATTTATTGTTCTTTCGTGTATTCATGCAAATGAGTGTAGCGGTGTAATCAACAAACAAAAGGTTCCGCATATAATGCGCAGTGCAAATTTCGAACTATAAATTTTGGAAAAAAAGTGCGCATTATACACGGGTAAATACGGTAGTAGCCTGAAGAGAAGTCATTTGGATACTGGCTCCATTGTAAAATATTTGAAACTAACCCCCACGTTTGTTTGTTTTTTTGTTTGTGTGCAGGATGAGTATGCTACTGAGCACATCCGATGGACAAATCTACCATTTTTTGACAATCAACCAAGACTGGATCTGTTGGCCAAGCCTCCGCATGGCCTGATCCACATTCTAGCTGATACGACAGGTTTTCCAAGGGTAGGCTGAAAATCGCTGAAAGTGTAACTTGTCATGCATGAACATGATTGTCTATCTCCTTATAATATGCTTCTTTCTGTATTAGTTCCTTGTAAATCCTGATGACATTACTGTGGTTATTAAATTAAGATAAAACTTTTTGTATTGCTCTTCATGATCATAACAGGCAGATGATCTTACATTCTTGAACAAGTGTCATTTCCATCATGAACTGAACAAATTTTATCAAAAACCAAAGACACCCAAGCCGGAATTTGCTATTTGTCATTATGCTGGCACAGTATGGTACCAGGTAAGCTTTGAAATAAAGTAGGTGATATATACCCTCTTTTCTGTCATTTAGTTGATTTCAGTCAGTCAGTTGGTCAGTTAGTCAGCTAGTTGGTCAAGCAGTTGCTGAGTCATCGAGGCAATCAGATGGGCAGTTTGTTTGTTTTTAACCAAACAGTCAATCAACTACAGTCAATTAATTAATTAGTAAGCCATGTAGCCAATCACCCAGACAGTCAGTCTGTCTGTCTGGCTGTCCTGCATCTATCTCTCAATCTTTCAGACAGGTGGTCAGTCTGTTCAATGTCAGTCACTCTTATGTAGAGCTGTTATTAGGATACTGTCAGTACCACTGTGAGTTTGGCCATCGTTTATTTTTCTGCAGACAGATCACAGGTGCATGTAAAAATGTGTTACTTAATATTTAATAAGAACTTTAACACAGACTGTACATGTGCATGCTTCTATTTTTTGCAGGTGACTGGTTTTCTAGAAAAGAACAGAGATGGTTTAAAACCAGACCTTGAAGACCTTATTTCTAGTTGTGGCAGTAAGGTATGTATGTGTTCTTAAACTGCTGCTAGTTGCTGTTAGTAGGTCATATACACGACTGTACTACATGTAATTTCAGAAAGGAGGGAAATTGGACTGCTTATAAGTTATTACCCAAAACATTTATCATTGCATATTAAACTGCCTGACTTTGTGTTTGAGTGAAATTTTGTTCACTTAATGTTTTCTGGTGTGTCTGAAGCATTTTAGGTACATGTACCTGTAAACATGTTAATGGTATTCAGGAGTTTTGCCTTAACATTGCTCAAACCTTTTGCGCTGTAATTCATGTTTACTGTTTAGTGTTAATAGACCATTTTCGATTATAGTAAAATTCTAACTTGGCTCCGAGGCTTGGGGGAATAAAACAAAAGGAATCACATCAAGGTTAAGTGACGAATAATTAATTTGTTTTGTTTTATTCCCCCTGGCCTTGGAGCCATGTTAGAATTTTAATACATTGCGAATGGCCTATTTTGTTAATGATGCTACAATACTGTACACAAGCCTTCTGTGGGTAACAATCAACTCAGTTGTTCCTAATCAATATTGCAATATTCTACTTTGTAGTTCATTCAGGAGCTTTTCCCAGAGCTTCAAAATGAGGAGTTTTCAATCAAGAGGCTGAAACTTCCTTCACAGCCTAAGAATTCTCTCAGATTGCCATTAAACCAGAAAAAGAAACCAACAGTTTGTGGCAAGTTCAATGACTCTCTCATTAAACTTGTGGTTGCCATGAAAAGGTAATGTTTCCTATTCATACAGAGGTTTAGATTTTTGACCAACATTCAAGATTTCTGCTTCCTGTTTGTTTGGGTTCTGTGTTCTCGAGATGTTTTCTTGAAGAAGATACTGGCAGCTCACATAGAGATGCTTATGGATTGATGCTCTAATGATCTTCTTCACTGCAGTTACCTAGCGTGCATTACTTTAGAGCATAGTTACATATTGACAGGTTCCATTTGTTATGTTACTTTCCCTGTTGAAAGAGGCCTAGGCGGTGGCATGGCCTAGTGGTTTGAGTGCTGGATTTGTATTCAGGAAGTCCCAAGTTCAAATCTTCCTACCTGCCAGTAGATGGATTTATGTTTGGTGGTACCAATAGTGAACTGGTTAGCCACCAACCAGTTGGGATTTTAACAAGTTTCTGTTAATTTACATTGTAAATATGTGTTTGTTTATTTGAAAGGGCCACAATGTTTCAAACTACTTAATTCCTTTAATATGCACTGGTACTTAATTAATAACTCTTAATTAGTAATTAATAGTTTTCCTTTAATTTCAGCCTTTCTCACTTTGTTCTTGTAATTGTTATTCTCTTGTAGTTGCAACCCTTTCTTTGTCAGATGTATTAAGCCAAACAGCACCAAGGTACTTGTAAAGTGTATTAGAACCTTAGAAAAAAAAAATTGTCGTCTCGAATTGATATTTTTTTATCATGTCTGTACTCTGTTAGTTTTTGCCCATTCTACAATACTTAGTATTTTTTTCCAAAAAATCATTCTTTTTCAGACTGCAGGAAAATTTGAGATTCCTCTTGTTGTTGAACAGCTGAGGTATTGCGGAATTGTGGAAACTGTAAAAATCCGTAAAGCTGGCTATCCCATCAGATATCTGTATGCAGACTTCATAAAAATGTAAGACACCCTCAGCTTTAACCTTATAATAGAGATTTTTTCTTACTCTTTGTAATTGATAATTAATCCAATTGTACTACGTATTATCAAACATGTATCACTTATAGATTATTAGTTAATAGATAGACTTAATACTGTTGAGTTTAAGCTTAAGCAGCCATGGGTGGGGAGAAGTGTTGAGAACCTTGGAAGTTTCAGCATTGCATAATACACAGTATATATGCAGTATCAATATTCTGACTGTTTCAATGTTTTTTCTTCACTTGGAAAAAATTTTCATTAATCATTTTGTGCAATACTTTTTAGGTATTCTTGTTTGTCATCACATCTTGATCTGGGCAGTCCAAATCCAAGGGAGAATGTGTCGAGAATTCTTCATCTCATTGAAAGAGTTGAGCCTGCAAGTTACCAGTTTGGCAAAACAAAGGTTAGTTGTGTTAAACTCAATTGGTTATTAAATTATACATTTTAGATTTGAATTCTTCTATTAGTAATAATAATAATGAAGAATTTGTAGTGCGCAAATTCCATGTGGATATGTTCACATGCGCATTACAACTCAATTATCTAAAACTAAACGTTGCAAGCCCTAAAATTACAATTACAGCTAACTAATCTAACTCACAGAAGTGGTGGTTGTCAAAGGTGGGGAAAAAATAATAAAATAACAAAGATAAAATAAAACATAATTTCTAACAGCTAAAATTCTCAGAAAATTACAATATTATTACCTATTAGGTAGGTACATGTATATCTGAAGGACAGTTGAACAAAACTGGAAACAGTTTGGAGATTTTTTATTATGACATGTACTGCAAGTAGGAAAAACTAGCAAAAAATGTGTGCTACATATGGAAAAATAACCCTGGTTAAACTGCTAAACACTCAGATAGTTCGCAGCACCACACCACGAGGTATCAGTGTTCAGGGGGTTCATTAAAGGCTGGGCACTGGCCAAACTGAGTGGCTGTGAGGATGATTTTTCCCACCTGGTTTGACCATCTTGAGGAAAGTTTTTCATAATAAAGAAGTTCAGCTCAACAAGTTTTGCCTGCCTGTGAAAACCAGTTGCCCCCCCGCCCCCCCTGCTGAAAATGTTAATGAAACCTCTGTATCAGTGACGTACTATTCAAATCTGAACGCTTGGATGGAGGACTGCTGACTTGAAACAGGTTGCTTTAAGCTTGTTGTTGCTAACCTGATTAACTATTCANATTAATAACTCTTAATTAGTACTTAATAGTTTTCCTTTAATTTCGGCCTTTCTCACTTTGTTCTTGTAATTGTTATTCTCTTGTAGTTGCAACCCTTTCTTTGTCAGATGTATTAAGCCAAACAGCACCAAGGTACTTGTAAAGTGTATTAGAACCTTAGAAAAAAAATTGTGGTCTCGAATTGATATATTTTTTTTTATCATGTCTTTACTCTGTTAGTTTTTGCCCATTCTACAATACTTAATAATTTTTTTTCCAAAACATCATTCTTTTTCAGACTGCAGGAAAATTTGAGATTCCTCTTGTTGTTGAACAGCTGAGGTATTGCGGAATTGTGGAAACTGTAAAAATCCGTAAAGCTGGCTATCCCATCAGATATGTGTATGCAGACTTCATAAAAACGTAAGACACCCTCAGCTTTAACCTTATAATAAAGATTTTTTCTTACTCTTTACAATATTATTGATAATTAATCCAATTGTACTACCTATTATCAAACATATATCACTTCTAGATTATAAGTTAATACATAGACTTAATACTGTTGAGTTTAAGCTTAAGGTGGCTCCCTAGTGTATTTATGAACACCCTCCCCACAGAGCACGAGTTAGAAAAGGAAACTTGGTTAATTTCTCTTAAAGTTTTCCCTGTAGAGATTTACCAGTATGGATACTGTTAAAATAAGGCTTATTTTTTGGTTGTCAATTTTTGGATTATGGCCATTAACATGGCAACATATCATCTAATGACAGGCAGATATAATCCTCATGCCTAAACTCCTCAATATTTATACTTTCCTTCAGTGAAATTTTTTCATAGTTTGCCACATCATGGAAATGATATTGCCTGACATTTTGAATTGGCAAAACATCAAGGTTGTTCAGACAGTTTTTCCAATATTCTGTAATTTGTCAGTCTTCTAAATACACATGTATATTAGATTATTAAAGGAATTTTATGTGGTTACAACTGAGCCAAATTTGAAAAAAATTCAGCGAAGGAAACGCGAGAAAATTCACTGTCAGTTTTACTTTTAGTGCTCATGTTGACGTCATAAAAATAAAAAAAACACTTATGATTTCCTTCAAGCGCGCGCAGNGTAGAACTGAAGTGATAACGCCACTGTTCATGAACAAACGTTTCACAAAATTTAAACGTTTGTACAAGAAATTCTGAGGTATTTTGGCAATGTGTGGTAGATAATATAAACAAAGCTTCTATATGGTGATAAGGAAGGTTTCAGATGCCACTGAGCTGCAGGTATTTACCACAGTAACTAGACAAAATTTGTGATGATTAAGTGCTCAATGTTTTTACCAGTTACTTCTTAAATATGAAAGTTAGAGCTTGCATGCGCTATGAACTTGGCTTCAGTGAAGCATATCTTTACACCTATACATAGTAATTAAGCAATTCCTACATTCAAATACTATTGAGTTTTGTAGTCCTATTTTCATACATGGTTTTGTATGACTGAAATTAACCTTTCTAGCTAAATAATCTCAGAGAAGGGTTTGTGTGTAGTTCCTTTTGAACTGTCTTTTTGGGATTTAAATTGCTTGCATTGTTAATTTATTATCGCCTTTGCCTTTTCAAGTTGTGTTCATTTGTACCACTCCACTCAATTATTGAATCTATCCTATGTTTTTCTGTATGGATCCGGTGTTAACTTTAAATTAAGCCTTGGAAGTCAAGTTGTTATTAGCAGCTTTGATATGAAAGACCATAAAATCACTATGGTTTTTGTGTTTATTTTCTGTTAACATATTTTAGCGTCTGTGAATTGACGAGATTGTGATTATTCGTATTGCACAGATCAGACTTTTAGTTTACTTGTTGGTTGTACTTAGTAATACAAATGTAATAATAATTACTGTGGTTTTATCTAGTCAAGAAAGTATCACATATAACTTGATTCAGTTGGCATGTTCTAACAAGTTTAATCCAAAGAAGTTCATCTAAGTCGAGTCCAGTTTTACATTATGTGTACATTCACACATGCACTGATCTTGATGAGACACTGATGTGCGAGTGAAAGCAAATGCTATATCTTGTTTGGTTTTTCGTTTGTACTGTTGATCTGTTGATTTATCCACATTAGAATTTTCAAGTCATCGTTATTCATGTGTGGTAATTAGTGATGATTAGCCTGTCTTTCAAGAGCATTACCGATAATAATCCACCGTTCATGATTTATTAGCGTTATGAAGTTTGAACTATTAGGGAGTTTACGAAACCACGACANTGTACAAGAAATTCTGAGGTATTTTGGCAATGTGTGGTAGATAATATAAACAAAGCTTCTATATGGTGATAAGGAAGGTTTCAGATGCCACTGAGCTGCAGGTATTTACCACAGTAACTAGACAAAATTTGTGATGATTAAGTGCTCAATGTTTTTACCAGTTACTTCTTAAATATGAAAGTTAGAGCTTGCATGCGCTATGAACTTGGCTTCAGTGAAGCATATCTTTACACCTATACATAGTAATTAAGCAATTCCTACATTCAAATACTATTGAGTTTTGTAGTCCTATTTTCATACATGGTTTTGTATGACTGAAATTAACCTTTCTAGCTAAATAATCTCAGAGAAGGGTTTGTGTGTAGTTCCTTTTGAACTGTCTTTTTGGGATTTAAATTGCTTGCATTGTTAATTTATTATCGCCTTTGCCTTTTCAAGTTGTGTTCATTTGTACCACTCCACTCAATTATTGAATCTATCCTATGTTTTTCTGTATGGATCCGGTGTTAACTTTTAATTAAGCCTTGGAAGTCAAGTTGTTATTAGCAGCTTTGATATGAAAGACCATAAAATCACTCTGGTTTTTGTGTTTATTTTCTGTTGATGTATTTTAGCGTCTGTGAATTGACGAGATTGTGATTATTCATATTGCACAGATTAGACTTTATGTTTACTTGTTGGTTGTACTTAATAATACAAATGTAATAATAATTACTGTGGTTTTATCTAGTCAAGAAAATATCACATATAACTTGATTCAGTTGGCATGTTCTAACAAGTTAAATCCAAAGAAGTTCGTCTGAGTCGAGTCTAGTTTTACATTATGGGTACATTCACACATGCACTGATCTTGATGAGGCATTGATGTGCGAGTGAAAGCAAATGCTATATCTTGTTTGGTTTTTCGTTTGTACTGTTGGTCTGTTGATTTATCCACATTAGAATTTTCAAGTCATCGTTATTCTTGTGTGGTAATTAGTGATGATTAGCCTGTCTTTCAAGAGCATTACCGATAATAATCCACCGTTCATGATTTAGTAGCGTTATGAAGTTTGAACTATTAGGGAGTTTACGAAACCACGACAGTGACGCCGAGGACAACGTCGATTAAAAAATGGATTTATATTTTACCCACGAATCTCGCGATACTCTAAAGTCATTTAGTTTGTTTATCACTGTCAAAACTATCGCAAAACTAAATCCGGGACACAGCGATAAATTTGAAATAAAAATTTAAAAATTAGCCGTCGGGTGTTCACGTTCTCCAGACAACGCAAAATTTGGTCATTTCACATTGTTGTCTTGCAAAGGACGGCAAATTGACGACTAACTTGAACCCTCGCTTGTTTGTGGGCCAACCAAACAAAACAAGAGCAAAACACTCTTGTTTATTAGACCTCAACATTCTTGTTACCAGAGAAGTTTTGAACCGTGTGATTTTAAGGTAGTTTATGCTTTCAGTGATTCTTCTTCTGTTTCTGTTTTTGTATAGCTACAGAATGAGAGCCGCAATAATGCCACTGAGACGCAAGCAGTGGCTGATCCTCCTCCAGCTGAGGAAACGGTGGAAATTAGAAATGTTCCTGAAGTAGCAGTAAGTATAGAATATTAGCTTTAGAGGTGCTATCGAGAACTCCCTTTTGAGCTAATTGGGGACTGGCTGACTGACTGTTTGACTGTCTGTCTGTCGGTCTATCTGACTGACCTTCTGACTGTCTGTCTGACTAACTGACTAACACATAGACTGACTGTCTGAATTACTGATTATTTGACTGTCTGTCTGACTTTCTGACTGTCTGACCGTTTGACTGTTTGACTAACTGACTGACTAACTAACGCATAGAGGGGGTAAGTTTCTAAAGAAACTGTGGTGTAGCGTCGGTGGGGAGTATAACAAGATAATTTGGTTTTATCAACTGGGTTGATAATGTGAATTGGCCACCGTAAAGAGATTCGAAAGCCGACGTATCGAGCGTTAGCCCTTCGTCGGAGCGAATCGAAGAAGTGCGGGTTGTGTGTGGTTTACATACAGAAAGATGGAACTACGCTACTGGCTGGTGCATGGACTAACGCATAGACTGACTGTCTGAATTACTGACTATTTGACTGTCTGACTGACGGAATTAGTAGGCAGACAGACAGACATGTACTGACAAATTACCAGCAGATAGATGGACAAACGAGACAGACACATGAGACGGATGACTCATAACCAGGAAGTTAACTGTGTATGCTTTTTTTCTTTTGGAATGAGGTTTTAATCAAATTTTCAGTCCTCTCGGCTTTTAATAATCAGCACCAATACTTTCCACCAAATTGAGATCAAGTTACACGAATAGCAAAATGGCCGAAGCGCAATTACTCATCATTTGATTATTTCATGTTAATTTTTGTTTCGTTTTCATCACAGGAAATTGAAAAGCAAATTGTGACAGATGTCACTCATCTTGAAATCCCTGCAGATTTGGCACTGGTGTTTGCCAACATTCAAGGTAAGAGGACAACTATCACACAGGAACAAACCACGAAGAGTCCAGAGTGCGAAATTCATTCTAAATGTATTTCCACAGTCCACATCATTCTCATTCTTAATCTAGATTATAATACAGCATTGATTCCACTTTTGGAAATAACGATGTAAAGGAAACTCAGTAAACTTCATTCAAAAGCTCCCACAGCCATTGTTTTATGGGTGTAGAATGATCTGCAGTGCTCTTCGTCATAGTATTAATATAGACTTGAGACCAGCCAGTAATTTTTACAAATGGTGTTTTCCTGTGCACTGCCACAGAAAGGTTAACGGCAGTAAAATAGACGACTGTAGTTTAGTGTCTTTGTATTTAAAACTGCTATGCTAACGAACGAAACTTGAAAAAAATCAAACAAATATTGCAACAAGAACATGTCACGTGACCAGTTCTGAGGTAGTGACATAACTTGGTTGAAAAACAGAACGCAGCAGGCAAGAACTAAGTTAGTGGTAATGTGCAAGATAGGTTACGTTAAGCACGGCAGGGCTTGGGAATGTGTCACATCACTGAATATTTTCTATATTGCTTAAATCATCAATAATCCATCCAGTTTAAACGTGCGAAATCATGACCGCGACGGTGTTTGGATTTAGTGTTGATTGAGAATATCTGATTGGCTGTATTTCTATGGCATGGTATAAAGTGTTTTATACCCACATCAAATTTTCAGCTCTCATTTTTTTTTTGTTTTTTGTTTTTGGAAATGTGGTAAAACACGGTATCGTGGGTTTGATTATTACATACATCTAACGAAATGTGATTACAAGTTTAAAACTGACTTCTTTCCTACATCAGGCTGGTCCTTGACCCACGGATCCTCAGTTCACGAAAACAGAGGAGATGTCATAAAGCACGAGTATGCAACATCAAAACTACCAGATGATATTAATGACTTTCCTTTCTCCAAGTTCGTTCAGGAACATTTTCAGGTACAAATATGTCGCCTGTGTACTCAATGTAGAATCGAGTTCAAAAACAATCGAGGCCCTCCTTAATTCGGACAGTTGGTCAGAGCTTTGTGCACGTATTAGGGCGGTGTCCGTGTTAGGCCTATTTCACACTAGCGATATAATAACATAACGACATCATCGCGTAAGTCGGTAATGCGAACTTTGACATAAAGACATTTTTTCCTTAGTTGGCTATGTCACTTAGTTCGTTATGTCGCTAGCGTGAACTAGGTTTTAGATAAAATTAGTATGAATTCTGGTCTCTCGCGCTAAGTCATAGTTAATTGAGGGGAATGGTTGTGAAACTCGAAAAAGTTCTTTGTTGTTAATGTATGTTTTTGTTCTCTTTTTTGGCCTTGACCGTGCACAAAACACAATAGTTGTTTACTACTGACCGAGGAACTAACCAACAGAAATGTGTTGATTACGTAAATCATGCATAGTGCATGAACGCAAAACAAAATATTGTGCATGGTCGTGGACCTTCCAACATAAAGCTTGACATCTTTGTTTGCTCTTTTGATGTTTGCCGGGCTTCATAACCATTCCCCTCTACTAACTATGGCTAAGTGAACTGTACGTAATGTAGACGAATCTGTAGTATGGCGGTGTTCCTGAGGATGGATTCGACTTATTGTTAACAATAACTTGATAATATTATCTTCTTCTTTTCCCGGTACTTGCAAGACCATGTTGTTCAATACATGTACCTTGAACTATTCATTGATTTATATCAGCTACACACTTAAAGCCGATTTTGGCTGGTTCCATTTGGTCTCTCCAGTTCAGTTTCGCTGTCATGGTACAGATTAAATCTAGCTCCTGAAGTGTTGTCTTGTTGAAAATGCTTATTTTTAATACATTGTGATGATATCTATTGGCTGGGAAATTGAACAGATATTGTTGCGAGTGTCACAAATAGTTATAGCACGTACACTAGGGTTATTTATATTTCACGCGGATGTTGGCCCTTGATGTTATCGCCTGTGGAATTCCCAGTACGGCTGTAAAATGCTGTGAACAGAATGATACGGATGTCGGTGGGCGATAGCTGTATCAGATATCACTTTTACCAGTCATAACATCCGTAGATGATGTGAAATTGTATTTGTGTCAGCTTTGATGCTTGATCAGTACAATCGCACCCGATAAACAAGATTGTCATAGTGGTATTTCATGGTTTGGTTATGTTACTGGTGTAAATGTGATGTGGATGTGCTGGGAGAGCAGTTGTACAAGCAGTTATGCAGCCATAAAAGTCATAGTCGCAGCCATAGTCGCTTAATGCTACAGAAACTGGAGATTAGCGCCGGTCAGATGGACAACTTAGCTCGTATGCAGACGTTACCTTTACCCATAAATTTTCAGTTGAATAGAAAGCTTCCGTTATTTACTCACGTGTAGTATATATCTGGGCCATAGCCTGTTCAGGCAGACAAACAATATATTTATACTGTGACTTCCGTGCTCCTCCTGTTACCAAAACCATTTAGCACAGACAACATCAATCTTAAGCTGCGTCATGGTTTTTGCATCTTGAAAAGTTTAGCCTAAATTTTTCAAGTTCGTCGTTTGTAATCCGTGTTAATCCTCTCCATCTTTAACCATCCTTGTTCCTTTATGGTTTATTATTATCTCTTTGGTGTTTGTCTATTTTTGTAAAGTAGCATTTTCAGGTTTCCTTCAATTTAAAGGTAATTTTGTACCTGGCCAAAATAACTTGAAATACCGCGACTGAGCTCCTGTAATTCATGAGAGTTTGTATGAATTTTTGTCTTGGTAGAGTGAACACCAATGGCGAATGCTACGGGCGCCGTTAAGAAACAGCTTGCTGCCTATAAAGTATTCAGACAGTGTGATGGCTATCGGTCTCTTTCAGCTGGTAGGGAGTGATTTAATGCTTTACTGCCTGAAAAATCAAGTCAACGTAATGAATTTAGTCAGTATATTAGCACTTAAGGATTCTTTAATTATATAATCTGTTGATGTCTATATGTGTAAATAATGATATTTAAAGTGTCTTACAAGTGTGGTTGTATTCCAGAAAGAAAACTACCAATCAGTTGTTTATGCGTAAATTTTTTGTTTGTAGCAAAGTGTTAAGTGTTATCAGAATTCAACCGAGCAAGGACTGCTCTTCCTCTTTCTCCTTCAATTGCTAAGACACAAGAAATGTGGATTAACATGGCTTTGCTCTGTCAATACAGGTTATGCGATTCATGGATGATGAATCCATTACTGGTGTCAAAGAGTTTGCTGTTGGAAACTACCTGGTCCAGATGGTTAGTTACTTGTTATAACAGCATGTAAGCTGAATCGGCTAAGTGGCTGGTTTGTGTTTGGCCCAAGAAAACACCGCCAGAAACCGTTTCTCGATCTTAATAATGTTAAGAAGAAGACTAGTCAGTACTCCAATCAAAGGGAAATATATGCCTGGGCTCTTTTCTTGGGTTTTACTAAAAGAATAGTTTGTGTTCAAAGTAAGTTAAGAGTGGACTATAGGTTTCTTGATTTTCATAAAACGTGTACAATTTGTTGTTGCCTCTTTAGGGCATTTTCAAGCCCGAATTACGTGAGGAGATGTTCTGCCATCTTTGCAACCAAACTTGGGGAAACAATTCTGATGCAAGCAATGAAAGAGGGTGGCTTCTTTTGGCGCTGTTTTTGTGTTGTTTCGCCCCATCAACAAGACTCTACAAGCACTTACTCAAGTAAGCTGGTATTTTAAGAAATTTTGCTGTTAGTGCCAACTGCAGGGGCGTGGCCAGGTGGTTCGTGGATCAGGCTCGATGTCAGAATAGACTATCAGCATAGCTGACGTCATTGCGCTATCGTCAAGAATGCGAAAATCCCCGCAACGTTTTGCCCTTAGTTTTTTATCCTCTCTGAGCAAATTTTCTTGCAAATTCTCTGAGGAGAACATTTTTTCCTCTTACCAATGAAATGTGTATGTAAACAGTCGTTCGGTGGGCATTGATAGCCTGAAATAGGGACAGAAACAGACTACGAATTTAATTATCTTTGGGGCTTGTTGCATTGTGTGAGGGTAATCAGCGCGTAACGAGAGGCTGTTTTGGTGTTTATGACCTTTACATTGAAGTTTTCTCAGTTGTCTCGTTTACGCGCCAACCTTGGTAAAGTCTTCATTGGTTATCGTTGTGAAGCTTAAAACTCTTTGATTTTCGTTCACCTCAGGTACGCTTCAGACCAAGCATTCAACGGCTATAAAAGCTATTGCCAGCATAAGATGCTGTGTTGGGACATGAATGGGTCTTCTGTGGCACGATCACACCCTCCCACTCTGTTAGAATGGCAAGCAGCAAAGTTGAGGACCAACATGGCTGTTGAATGCCACTTTCCTGATGGTATGAGCACATTGTTCTTGACTAATGCCCGATTCTGTATTGCTTGTTAATTTTGTATGATAACGACTGAGTATAGATCAAATTCAGTCTCTTCTAGTTTAGAATCAGTCGGCCTCTCAAAACTCCGCGCAGCAGCCTTCTTCCTGCTATGCTCAACCTCACGTGAAAGTTTCGAATTTCTCTCAGGCAGCTAAACGTCTTGTAATCGGTTACTTCGGATGACTAATGAGTCAGTAATGACTTTTGCTTGCCAGACGTTTATATAGAGCTTTTGTGTCTCTTGTACAGGAGAAAGAAGGACAGCAGAAGTTGAATCTTGTACCACAGGAGAAGAACTTGCTGCGTTAATTCTAAAAGACAGGTGAAAATAACTTCAATTCAGTTTTAAAAGTTACTTTTGTGTAATTCTCCCTTTAAAGAAAGGGGTTTACCTGTTTTGATCTCGTGTTATGTATCATAATAAATAGAAGGGGATGAAACAGTGAAAATGTTTTACTCTTGTTAGTCCCAAAATCAAAATCTTAATACTTGTGACCACTCCCGGATGATGTCTTGTACTACCAGTTAGGAGGATGAAATTGTCTGGTTCTTGTATTGACGGGTAGGCAAAGCTGTCAGAAATTACAGTGTTTGTTTGGGAATCCGATGGCAAATAACTTTTTGAAAAATTGAATTTTACACAAGTTGTGAATCGCAACGTTAAAGTTCTTGGTAGAAGATTGTATTCAACGAGTTTGAAGCATGTAGTTTGGCTAGAAGACGCACGGTTAATTTGTCAAATTTTCCATACATTTGTCTGTAAGTTTGGCTGGGTAGACGAGGTTCGCGGAAAAAGACTATAGACAAATGTATGAATTAACTGAGCGTCTTCTAGCCCAGCTGCGTCCTTCAAATTTGGTGAATACAATCTGCTACCTAGTATGGTAAAATTGCCATTCATAAGTTGCGCAAAATTTAATATTTAAAAAAAAGTTATATGCCATCCGATTTCCTTTTAAACTGTGTAATTTCTGACCGTTTTGCCGACCGGCAAGATGGCATCGAAAACCGTTTGGATGTTTATCACTTAAGAATTGAAAACTAGACTTCTTCGAGGTTTATTTACGAGGAAGTTCTGTTTACAAGTTTCTAAAGCATAATCAACCTGATAGAAATTGCTTTCCTTGTTAATTTAGGGGCATTGAAGATCCTAAAGGCTGGAGCGTTGATCTTGAGAGCAGTGACTGGCATTGCTCTCTTGCCGGCAAGGATTATGTCCTTGATCTTATTTCAGAACTGGAATACCCGCCGGCCTTCCCCTTGTCTCGATCCTCATCACTGTTAACAGTTAAACCAGGCCATACTGTTCCAGAGAGTCAGCTGAAGACACTTTCCAAGTAAGTGCTTACGAGGAAAGGAGAATCTCTTTGGTCCTATCGTTCGTTCGTTTATTGCTTCGTTCGTTGCTTCGTTGCTTCGTTCGTTGCTTCGTTGCTTCGTTGTGTCGTTGCGTCGTTGCGTCGTTGCGTCGTTGCGTCGTTGCGTCGTTGCGTCGTTGCGTCGTTGCGTCGTTGCTTCGTTGCTTCGTTGCTTCGTTCCCTCGTTCCTTCGTTCCTTTGTTCGTTAGTTCGCGCGCTCGCTCGCTTACTCGGATTTTCACTACTCGCGATATTTGAAAATTCTTTTAAATAGTCCTTGCTGAAGGTTGCGTGCAATTGTTAGAGAACTTTGATATATCACTCATATACAGCGTGACTCTTTTAATACGTTTATATTTAATATCATTGAAAAAGCTACTTCATTGTAACTGGCTGAGAGCAGGCCAATTTAGCGTTAATTCTAACCTATGCGAATTGTTTCTTTTTATTTTTCTTAGTCTTCATATGCCGCAAGCTCGTGGGAAAAGCGTAGCAGAAATTGCCCACAAGTTTTCCTTTGTTGACCATCAACCACCGTCATCACCGTCACACACACAGCGAGAAGATGCTTTAAGTGCAGCTACATCAGCGAGACTGGCATATGTCAGCTCTCAAGGCCCAGTAGAGGACAACCTTGTTCAGAGATCGCGATTGGGAAGCAGCTCTGCTCATGTAGAATCCGCACCACCCCCTTACCCGTTTCCGCAAGTGTTCGTCCCACCACCCCCTCCACCCCCACCTGCGTTTGTTCCACCACCTCCCCCACCGCCGCCAGTTGTACCGCCAACTGAGCGTGTGATTCTAAGAAGGAAGCCCACCAAGAAGGACAAGGACAGAAAGAAAAGAGACAGTGGTGGACCCCAGCTGTCCATGGCTGAGGTGATCGCGAAGGCAAAGAAAATGCGCGAGCAACGAGAACGTGTTCTGTCAACTGGCAGCGGACCTACGTCAGGCGATAAAGAAACCACTGATGATCCTTTTGAATCCGCGATGCAAGCTCGTGTGGTACAGCTGAAGAGCAGGCGCGTTGAAGTCCAGCAGGCACCGCGGCAGGAGGAAGATAGTGAGTTGATGAGAGAGATGCGGCGAAAGGCGCAACGGGCCAGTCGGGCGTTTGTTGAAAACGAGAAAACCACACATCTGTCTGTTGAAGACAGTGTTTTTGTTGTGGAAGGTGAAAGAAGACCTTCAAGAGACAATTCCTCCACTTCCAACCGAGAGGCTGGAGACAATGACTCGCTGCAGTCATTAGAGACCTCAGACAAATTAGAATCGCCCAAACAAGTCAAGGATTTTGTGGACAGTCTTTTTGATCCTGTTCTCTCACAAGGAGTGGAAGGTTTGTCAGATGAGGTAGCACTACAAGGAGCCTTGAAAGGAGGTGGCGGAGTGAATCAGCCAAACACGACAGCAGCTAATGCTTCTACTGCAACTGCATCTACAGCCGTGAATGGACATCCAACGGGGCAAGCTCACACACAAGGCAATGGGTATCCTGTCCACCCGGCAGTACAAGCTCAAGGGAATGGGTATCCTAGAATGATGCAGACAAATGGTTTTCCAGCAATGGTGCCTGGTGCTCCCATGTACTACGGTATGCCACAGACAAATGGACCTCTTGTAGGACTCCCTCAGGCAAGTAATGGGCCCGTAATGGGTGGTCCCCTGTACCCGGCCAATATGGACACTGCGCTGCTGGCAGCGCAGCAGCAGGTTCTTATCGAGCGGCTGATAGCCCAGCAAGCTCTTCTTCAACAGCAGCAGACTGTAGCCTCTCAGAAGCAACAGGAGCAGCTGTTAATGCTGGCACAACAACAGCAGTCCCAGTTAGAGCAGTTGCAGCAGATGCTTGCTTCCCCTCAGCCCGCAGCCTCGCCGTTGGATACCCAGGAGTCATTAGCTTCATCTTCGGCCTCTACAAGCACTGCTACCAACGGCCATGTTCTGAGTCATAACGGCCAGACGGCAATGGAGGTTCTTTCACCTCCGTCTGAATTTTCAGACCTAAGACATTCACCACCACTACAGTCACCCATCCCTCCCCCTCCGTCTCCTCTGGTACTCATCCCTCCTCGCTCAACGTCTCTACCTCCAGCGCCAGCATCCACGATATCCCTACGAGAACAATCCTCTTCAAATACGGATGCGTTTCCACCACCTCCTCCTCCCATCTCCGACGACAGCAATACTGAAGAGAACATCACGCCTCAGAGACCGGGTCTCCCAAGACGAGCTACTGACAAGGTAGCACTGTTTGTGGCTGCTTTGGAAGGCAAGTCAGGAGGGGAAGAAGCCCGCTCCCCTGGGCCAGCATCGCCACTCAGACACGGTGACAGTTTTAGTTTTTCAACCACTTCTCCAGTGAGAAAGGAGAGTGCTGCCAAGGAGAGGCCAGAATTTCACAAGCGCACTTCATCCTCGATAGGCTTTGTTGTGTTGTCAGACAAACAGAACAGTACTGAGTTACACCCCAGATCTGATGGACCGTATTTATCGTACAGTCACGTCAAATGGAAGTTGAACATTCGTAAAGAAGTAAGTTTATTATCAGCGAGTAGTCCATAAATGTTACAAAGTAACTTCCGTCAACGATCGTTCAAGGGTCAGCTTCTTGGACGAAGAAAGACTAACGCTTTCCAAATTCTAAATTGGTTAGCTCCGCAAGCAGGGAAAGATAAGCTAGATTTTGCACTGTGATTAACTACTCGAGGGGGAAGGGACTATCTCTCCCGCTCGGGATTACTCGCTGTGTCCCGCAAGAAATATGATGTTCTTTACGCCATGCTCGGTCAAGACGGCTGGATATTAGCCTTGTTTGTTTTTTGCCCGTCGAAGAATCTCAACGGGTTCTTTACCCAACTTGCTATATGCTTGACGACAACTCACTGACGTGATCGTATGTTTTTTTTGCGTTGTAGCTCTTCGCAGCTGACGAGAAAGTCAGTAACAACTTGTTGCAGAAGTTGATATTCTTCCAGGTCAGTGCAAATTATGATTGCTTGATTTTAGGTCTGTTTCCATTCACTCACTGGCTTGTTTTACATCTTTCAGATCCTTCGTGACTCTTATTCCAACTGCTGTTGTCGAATGTCCAAAGACGATTGTCAAAGAATGCAGCTTTTACTACGTAAGTTAGCTGATGACAGGCAGTATGATTGAAGTGTTATGGCCAAAACTTATACGCTGAACGTTTGTGATATAAGCTGAACGTTTTGCTTATTATTTCGTGTAGTACAGAATTGCAAGGCCCATGATATTGTTTTGTTGGTATTCCATGCAGTAGGTATCTTTTTTGTATTCTGTTTATTCTTTTGTTTTGTTTTATTTTATGCAGAGAAGTATGGTATAACACCAGAGAGACCCCACTCAAGTGTTCCAGTGGAAGACATTATTATCGAGGCGGCCAGACAACTTCCTCTCTACTTCAGTAGGTTCTTTGTTGTTAAGGTGAGCGCAAAATGTCAGTTTCAGTGCAGCTTTCTAGTCGTCTATGAACTAAATCAACTCTTTTTAAACAGTCGTAAGCTCGATTGATAATTAGTTGTTGTGATGGTTGCTGGTTAAACAGCTCCAGAATTCAAAATGTGAAATTACAGATTTTTGTGCAACGTGGTCCTCTGGAACATGAAACTCTAGAACAGATAAATTATGCGAATGCTAGAAATTGATACGACCCGTGAGATCCCCCCTCCCGCAATCCTACGAGGGCAACCTGGGCCCCTGGGCTAAAGCCGATATTCTTTGACGAGGAACCAAATCTGTATCGCTCCTACCATTTGAGTTACAAGGCTAGCTTAGAACAGGTCATCAGAATCTCCAAAGCGCGGATTAGTATGACTTAGTACTATAATGATTAGTACTACGACTTAGTCAGGCAGTTGGCGTTCGTTTTGAGTTTGAGAATTTCTAAAGCTTCTTTTTAAATGTTGATACTTTATATGTATTCAGGGTCAGAATGAGTTGCCAGATGTGCATTACTTGGCTGTTTCTGAACACGGTATTAAATTGGTGAAGAGGGAGAAAATAACAGATGAACTCGAAATCGTGAGAAGCATTCCGTAAGTAGCTCTTCACTTCATTTTCTTCTCAGTAGATGTTTTATTTTTAATTTTGCGATGATATTTAAGTAACGAGTCGATTGCCCTTCTCGGCAAATGGTCGTTCAAAACATCGTGCGAGTATTTGCGAACTTCCGGAAGGTACAGAAGTTTTTTTGTCACACGAATCACGCCATGCTACCATAACAACTTCATGTAAGGACCATCAAGTTGATGCTATCTGGCGAGACAGTCTTCTGAATACTCGTGACTGTCCGCGCTGGACAATAAGAATCGGAGCAGATCGAGTGTTCAACGAAGATTTGTCGTACACCGAACAGGTTGTTTCCACTATGTAATACAGCTTATGTGGATAACATCGTAGCTTAGAACTGAATGCAATTTGACTTTTGTCATTTTCCAGGTACACAGAGCTGGTTAAGTTAAAGGCCGTGAAGGATAAACTGACACTGACGCTCACGAAGGAAGTCAAAGTTGTTGTTCATACGGAGAGGGTTAGTTTTCTTTCCGTCTTCTTACCCTTGCAAAACAGTACCCGTGGTTCATATTGAAAGGGGACTAACTGGACGTCAGCGAGAGATAGTGGGACTCTGAGATATTAACTGAGTTTTTCTCCCATTTAAATCTTTTGTACTTCTCGTTTTCCACTACAGCTCTACTTCTACTTCCACTTCTACTCAATGCAACTTCTCAATGCACCCACTTTTATGCTAACCGTAGCTACGCCCGGGATTTAAGCCAAGGGTAAATCAGGTGGTACAAAACAAAGTACTGGGATGTGAATCCTAGACGATTGCAGTTGACTTGATAAGGCAAGCAGAGATTTATCATTAACCAGTTGAAAACTAGAAAAATCGAATAATCTTTAGCAACAGCTAATCTTGGATCTATCTAGGGGAGTTACAAGCCATGATCGCAAGAACGACACAAACATGTCCACGGGTGAACCTCCGAACACAAAGTCCTAGAATGAAATGTTTGCGAGGCAAACGGCAGAGGCGTTCAAGATTTGAATGCCCAAACCTACATTCCAAATTGGCTTGCCAAATCGAAGCTTTATGAAAATCGTAATTTCCAAACATTTGGCTCCACAACAATATTTTTCATTTTGTTTTGTTTTGTTTTGTTTTTCACCAATTCGTTGACAATAAGGAAAGCGACTCACAGTGACAAAGACCTGTATCGTCGCTCAGCTGACGAATGTTTTCTTTTCCACAGGCAGCAGAAGCGAAGCAGATTATTGACGCATATCTGCGGCAGTTAGAAAAGGTAACTGTTTCTCGTATCATTGTCTTCGCTGTTTTTTACCAGTTAACTTTGAAACCTGACGGTAGGCACAACTTTAAAATTCGCTGAGCGAGTAAATGTACAGCTGTTTCTTTTTTACGCCTTCTATTTATTGTTTATCATATTTATCCACCGCCCTTGCGGAGTTCTTTTTATCTATTTGGATTAAACCTTTAAGTCTCTGCAAGCAAATAGTTAACTGGAGGAATTTTTTCTCAGTTATGAATTCTCTAAGCGGTATTACAATTTCAAAAGTTTGATCTAGGCGCATTGTCTTCACACGTTCCTCTGTTAAATTGAGTACGATGTCTCTGGCTCTGAAGAAAAGAGAAAATGTCAGACCAAGAGCGCGGGAAGTGGGTCATACTGTAAAATACAACGCTACAAATGACCAATCACAGCGCTTATACTATCTGAAAGAAAAATTAAAATTTAGGCCTCGTCCTCACTACGTCGGAGAAAATTGAAAACGCAGCTTCATGTCTACGATTAGGCCTACAGTCCGCACTGATCCCGCACGAAAACGAAGCTTTTCGAAAACGCTCTTCAAACCGGAGCGGGAGGAATTTGAAAACGCCCGCTTTGCGTTTTAGTGTGGACAGAAAGCATTTTGAAAACGGAGTTTTTCGTAAACAGTGACATCAAGATAATCATTTGATTTCGCTTCCCGAGTTTTCCTCAAAAACAAACTCAAAATGACCATTGATTGTTACGTTTTGAAATTTCTCCGGCGTAGTGTGGACGGAAAACATTTCGTACGTTTTCAGAGTGAACCTTCGTTTTCAAATTTCTCTGGCGCAGTGTGGACAGGGCGTTAATCTACCATCTTCTTGATTTTTTTTTTAGGAGGTGAAATACGTACGGGCTTTGTACGATCATGTGTCACAAGAGTCCGCACTTCTTAACTTCAAGAAAGGTGACGTGATCAAAATCGTTCACAAAGATGACCTGGAGGAAGGCTGGGTTTTTGGCATCTTTAACAACCAAAGCGGGTATTTTCCAGCCGATTTTGTCACACACATTCAAGAGGTAACGTATAGTTCCTTCTAGCTGTAACTCGGTGATCTTTTTTTTTCTTGATCCATCTTGTAGGGCGAGTGAGGAATCTGTCGCTTTGTCAATGATCGCAATGTATCATCTTCTGCGACTCTAACCCTTAATGTTCTATGTTTGATCTCTATCCCCGAAGAAAGTCTTAAGAAGTCTGCTAGTCTTACTGTTGTTCATTCCTCTACTATTGGTATCTCTCATTGTGTCCTTCTTCTTGTCTTGTTCTTTCTTCTAAGCTGTTTAAACCCAGGTTGAATGGCAGGGTATTCATTGCTCTTGACAGACGTCCGTCACTTCCTGGAAACAACTCTGGTCTTCATTCTTCCACTCCCGTTTCTAAAGCCTTAGTATGTGCTCTCCGTTCACGCCTTTCATTTATCATTTAGATGCAGTTGAATTCTTCTTACGACATATCAATATGACGACTTTCATATTGATAAGTGACTTTCATTATATTTCCTAGTGTTCTTTCTTTAATGCGTACCGGCCAGCCTGTTAACACAGCGAGAATCGGGTAATCAGGACCGGGGTATTTGGAAAGCCGATAAACACAAACTTGCTTTTGCAATAAACTCTTTTTGTAAAAAGTAAAATACGTTTCAGTGATTTTCTTAAATATCTCTCCTCTCGCAATGTAATCCTGATTTTTTTTTTTTTTTTT